AATTGAGAATCATGAATTTTTTATTTTTTTCAAACAGAAATCATGATTCTCAACAGACAACTAAACAAAATAACGTGATTTACTAGAGGTTCTGACAAAATGTTAATTGCTACAGTCTATTTAAAATGTTTAATTCATCTGAATGTATTATCTTTAGAAGACGGTTTGAATTAATGTTTCAATGACTCACTCATAAAGTTGTAATCAAAATTATTCAAACCCCATTGCAAATCAGGTTTATTGGCAAAATGTACAGACTTTCAGCTGTTTGCAATGAACAAAAAAATCAAACAAAAGTAATTAAAATAGCGCAACACAACAAATGTTTCAAGTGGTTTACCCAAATTCAACTGAAAATGCAACTTTTGATGACTTCTGCCGTCTCAAAATTATTCAACTCCTTCATGGCAAGCATCTTTAGTACTTAGTAGAACATCCTTTTGCTATTATGAACTACTGCAAACAAGATGTATAACCAGACACCAGCTAGCAGCGTTTCTGAGGCACGGCGTTCGTGGTTCGACTGGTCGAGACTGTTTTCCAAGATGGCTCCTGCCTGTAAACGCAAAGTGTATTGTCTTTATAAAGTATCTTCTTATTAAACTGTCTGTACACTTACAAAGTTCTCAATGCTTCGTTCTGCATGTAGGGGCCCTCATTATGCTACCATGTTAGTGTGGGGCTATTTTGAGCCTTGTTAGTGGTATTAACTAGCGATTTCTTTTTACTTATTCTATGCCCTATATACTAGCGTTATAAGCTAAGAAGATTTTAGAGATAAAACTCTTTACATTCGATTATCATGAAAACAAATCCCAGAGAACGGTCGACTCGGTACCAATGTGTTATTAGACCAAAGTTTCATTTTGCGCCGGAGTTGTCCTTTAAATCCCACCAGAGATTTTCTATGGGGTTCAAGTCAGGTGACTGTGATGGCCACTGTATCTTTCAAGACTTCTTTAAGCCTTGGTGGAATTTGAGGTATGCTTTGTCCTGTTGGAAGGTCGAATGACGCCCAAGCTTCAGATTCCTCACTGACAGCATGACGTTTTAGGATTTCCTGTTACTTCAATGAATCCATATTGCCTTTCACACGCTGCAGGCCAGAGGATACACAGCAGCCCCAGAGCATCACCGAACACCACCATGCTGAACTGTAGACAGAGTGTTCATTTCAGCGTTAGCTTCATTCTTCTTCCTCCGGACATACCGCTGATCCATAGGGCCGAAAAGTTCCAGTTTTGTTTAATCGCTCCACAGAACAGAATCCCCAAACCTCTTTGGCTTATTTATATGATTTTGAGCACTTTTCTTGTGCTTTCGGGTCAGTAGTGGTGTACGTCTTGGAGTTCTGGCATGGAAACCACATGCGTTTAGTATGTGCCTTACTGTGAAAGCTGAAACCTCAGCGCCTGTTGCCACCAAGTCTTGCTGCAGGTCTTTTGCAGTCACTCAAGGGTTTTTCTGAACCTGCCTTCTCAGAAATCTGGTTGCAGCGGTTGATAGCTTCCTTTTTCTGCCCCTTCCAGGTAGTGTAACTACTGTTCCTTTAACTTTGAACTTGAGAACTATGCTTTCACTGGTGTCTCTAGGAACATTTAGTGCCATTTTATCCCAGTACTTCTGTGATAATATGAATATTTGTAACACAGAAATAACGAAAAAGTGTGGTTGAAAAGCCTGTTTGTGAAGCTGTTTCATACCTATTTAAAACAACTCAAAGCATCTTAGCAACTGCATGGCAATGACCGAGAACCCCCTAGCAACCACATAGCAACACTCAACGCTCTACATAGCACAATGTTCACATCACAGCAAACACGGTAAAAACAATCCCTGCATAGCAACCCACAACATTCTAGCAAAAACACAGCAATGTGTTAAAAACAATTCAGAACACCTTAGCAACTGCATAGCAACCACCCAGAACCCCTTTGCAACACACTAAAAAAACACTCAGAAAAACTTAACAACTGTATAGCAACTCCCTGGCAACGTCTTAGCAGTTTTTTTTCTTCAGAAATGCAACTATTTATTTGTAATTGTTTTTAGACCATGTTGTTAGCTGCACTAGGTGGCTTAAATACACGCGCAAACACAGTCATCGAGGATGCTTTGGATCATTTCTTTTGTTTGGGTCGGCATAACCACTCTAGTCCTTTTGTTGCTGATGTTTGCGTGTGCTGTTACTAGGGCTACCCTTGACTGAAGTAGTCTGAAGTGCCTCTTGAGCTCTTTTTCAAGCCCCTTTAACCTCTGAAAACAGAGCATGGTCACGCAGAGGCTTGTTTATTATTCTTTTAAGGTCAATCCTCACATTAGATAAAAATGTGGGTGGGGTGGATTTTATGTAACATTGAGCTGGTTCAGTCCAGTTGGCCCTGTCATCCCCTCAAAAACGCATTTCAGATAAACCTTAAAACGTCCAGCTGTGACATTTTTAGCTCGCTAGTCAACAACGTCCACATTCTCGGGCCTGAAAAAAATGTGTTGGAACCAGTATGTGTGCATTGATATTGCGTTCTGTCATTGAACGCCCTATGACGACATTCCATCAGGACAATCTAGGGTTGCAAAGCACAACTTGGTCAAAGAATAACTAAAAGCATTTGCATTGTGATCAAACAGGAAATCATGGCTTAAGAGAAACTACAGACAAAATGAATTCATTGAAGCTATGCGAGTGTTTGTAGTTGACAAATACATTTTTGTTTTTCAGCATTAAGATTTCAGATTAAAATTAAAACATATAGTAGGTCCGTAAAATTTTGGACACTTCAGAGAGACTTAGAGAGAAATATCTTACAGCCATTGCATTAGATATCACATTTAACCAAGCAGCATCTGCAACCAAACGACATTGGACCTTCTCACAGAACTAACATCAGAGCCATTTTTTCACAATGTTTTTCTTTTTCAACGGCTGTGTCAGTGATTTCACACAGGTGTCCTAGCAGAGTAACCACAGGTGTAGTTTATCTCATTAACTATGAACATGATCCACTGATTTTTGACAACCACAGGGTGATTTTGTCTTTATTTTGAACAGTATGTCTATTTTGAAACCTAACATTTCTTTTTGTGAACAAAGCTTCATAAAATAAATACCATTTGATTTGACATTTTGTTATCTAATGCAATGACACCGAGATATTTTATACATGACATACATATATTTCTTTGAACTTTGAAATTTCAGTACCGACTTGGCATTGGTACTGAAGTCGGTACTTTTGACAACACACTAATATACAGTATATGGGCAATGGAACGTATATATTTGAAGTACTATAATTACTATATAACCGGTAAGTTGTTTTGCAGTTAATTGAAGTGTGTGGTGTGACTAATAAATTTCTAAAGGTAAAAATACTTCTCATATCACCATGATCAGTGTCTTTACACACCTTATCTTATTTATAAATTAGTTTACCGTAATTTTTCTTACTTATAAAACATTTAACATAGCAAATACATTTATGTTGTATCAAACAATTACATATTGTATACTTCATCTAATAATATACAATCCTGGGCAAAAAAGAAAGAAAGAAGGGCGAAGCCAAAAATGGCAAAATATTTTGTGTCTGCGAACCGAAAGGTTGGTGGTTCAATCCCCGGTTCCACCTGACCAAGTGTCGAGGTGTCCATGAGCAAGACACCTAACCCCGGCTGCTCCCGACGAGCTGGATGGCGCCTTGTATGGCAGACACCGCCGTCGGTGTATGAATGAGTGAGTGAATACGTGAATGTAAGGGCAAATGTAAAGCGCTTTGGTGGCCATTGGGTCTGTGAAAGCGCTATATAAATGCAGTCCAATTACCATTTACCATTTATCACAAATCAGGAAATTAGCAAGAATTTCAAAACTACTTTAGATAAAGTAACAGCACGGAATAGCCTTCCCTAACTTGCAGACAGCTTTTTACAGGAAGAAGAGTCAGTGTTGTTCCTCAATGTTAATGGCTTCAAACAGTTCATGAGTAGTTGAAATATGTCTCCCAGTTCGTTTAAGTTTAATGTGAGACCAAGTATTCACTATAGGGTTGAAATCATGAGCCTGATGGACTTGTTCTCAAGCCACTTCTTGGTTGTCTTTGCAGTTTTATATATTTTGAGCATACGCAGTCACCTGAAAGTGCATAAATCAGTGTTTCTTAAAATTGTTAGTGCACCCAAAAGTTCTGTCATCAATGTTGTTTCAAACCCATAAGAGTTTTGTTCATCTTTAAACCCCCAAAATATCTGTCCCTCCATTGAAAGTCTATGCAACCACAAATTTGATGCTTCAACAAGTTCATTAACACATTACAAACAAAATTATTTTGAACCGAGTGGTTTAATCCAAGTCTTCTAGGCAGTCACTTTATATAATGAACAGATTTAGTTTAGACTTTAATTCACATATAAATACTTACAACGCACACACATATAAACACACAACTTGTGTGGCATTACAAAGAGCTAAAAAAAATCTGGATGACGTAAAGCTAACATTTTTTAGTAATCCAAACCCAAAACAGACTTGTCTTTCTCTCTCAATTGCTGCATTATTCCATGAAACACCCTTTATAAATTCAGTTTTGCATGTAGCAGTACTTAAAATGTCAATTCTGTTAATATTTAACAGAGTTAAAACAACGCTGTGGACAAGAGGTGTACTCTGGTGCCTAGCAATGTAATGTTTGCAGAAAGGATAACCAAAACCAACCATCTTACACAACAGCACATAGACTTATTAGAATATTAGCTTCAGGACAAATAGTTTTCATTAGCCTACATGAAAGGCTATTTCATTTAATCGTTTCTTAAAAACATATTGTCTAACTATAATAATAGTGAAAATATTAACATTCCTGAACTGACTTTCAATAGCCTCCTCCCCCATCAAAAACACACACTCACTCACTCACACACACCTGGTGGTTTCAGCTGAGCTCTAATACCCACGGGTGGAGTTACATACACACTGCCGTGTTTAAACAAGACTCACGGTCAGCTGGATAGCCTCCTCCTCCTTTTCTCTCCAACCTGGTGGCTCAGGTTTGTCTCACCTTATTTCGGAAGCACGGAAGATCAGAAGTCAGCAGGAACAGCGTGCAGCTGTGAAAACTGATTCCCACCAAACAAATCCCCCCTCAGGCCTCTGCCGGTAAGTTTATCCGTATTTCTGTATCAGTGGTCACGAGCACAGGAAAAGTTCATTGTGATTTGTTTTTTTACAAGTAAGAGAGAGTTTTTTTTTAATCTAGGAATGATTTGGTGAAAAATGAATAGCTAAAAGAGTCTTGTGATGTCTAAACCAAACATAGAGCTTATAATATAATTTTAAAACTAAGCAATACAAAGTTACAATAACAACTGAACTTATAATGTTACAATATTTTTTTAACAAACCTATCACAGTCACAATCGTGTTGTTTTCCGAGTATCAGCACGGCCGTTTTAAACCAACAGCATGATTGCAAATGTGATTTTATACAACAGTTAAATAAACAATAAGTTGAACGTCAATAACTTACATTTTAGTAACAATTTTGCCAGTAGCTTAACATTTTCCGAAATCCAAACATTGCCGACCGCAACTGTTAGGCTAAGTCTAAAGTCAGACCAACACACAGAGCGTTAACAAGGGTAACGTTCGTGATGGAATCAGTGTGTTTGAATGAATCGGTTGAGTGAATGATTCAATGTCTCTTTCTGAAAGGCTGAATTCAGAATAACATAATACCATAGTACAAATCGTCTTTCCGTTCATCTTTGGAACACATATGAAGATGTTTTTAACAAAATCGGAGCAATTTCTGTCCCTCCATTCTGACATTTCTGACTCTTCAAAAAGTTGATAATGAGATTGTAAAACTTAAGTTTAGTCCAAATTTTCTGAAGAGACTTGTTTGCTTTATGATGAACGGTTTGAATTTAGGCTTTTATTCACATATTCATCAACGCACACATCAGATCTGGTTAATGGAAGCTCAAATTGTGTTGGACGCTAATATAGTTAGTGGCAATAGGTCTTGTTGTATAATGTTGTGTTTTAAAATGTCTTGTCAGGCAGTCTCCTATTTGGAAGGCATAAGCCTTGATTATTCATTTTTGCTCTTCTTCTCCAGCCTGACACCATGAATATCTCACTTGAGAACCCCTATGGTGATGTCACCATCCCTCGTGCCAAGTTGCGGGATGAGGGTGACTCCAGCACCATCATCATGAACCCAATGGCGTTAGAGAGCGCCTATAACAACCGTAATTCCGCCTCAAACCCCTACAGCAGCTTCAAAACTCCAGGGGAGATCAACACCTCGGGTGTCCCGGTTTACGGAGAGGCCAGGAACGGCAGCCAGAACCCCCCTCCTTACAACAACCAGCCAGGATACACGGTGAAGGAAAGCGACGAGCAGGTGGGACGCTGCTACGCCTGTTGCTGCCCCTGCCGGAGGAGGAAGTAAGACCAGATGATGTTACCCTGTGGGTTAACAGTTAGGAACCATCATTCAGCCTCCCAAATTTTGAAAGCCAAATGCCATATAGTTCTAAAATGACTGGATTTTATGGAACCTTAGCCCTGGAGACCATACTGTGGTTTGGACAAAACAAGAGCTGACCTTCTGTGACTGCACCGAAACCTGTTATATTAAATATTTACTTTTGGATTACTATGTCAAACAGTGCTTTGTTCAATTGGCACAGTTAAGTTTGGCTGGATTACTCTTTTTGGACGACTTTGAAGTAGCCTTACCTATGTGTGCCTCATACAATGGCATGCTGAGATACTCCCCTTCATTCTTGCGTTACCCAATTGTTCTCGTACACACTTACTTAAAGTTTTTTGAATAATGTTGTTGTTAATGGAGTGTCTCTTTAAATTATAATGACACTGAACTGATGTACACAGAGGTGAGGCTCTCTTCACAATATGTCCTGGTGGGCTTCTCCAAGTTTTCATTTGGTTTTTGAGCCACACCCTGACGTGCCGTCAGACACAGGTCAGTGAAACTTGAGGAAGAACTCTCGTTCTTTTTCTAAAGAATATACAAAAGGACACTGTCATCTCTTCCTGCACAAGGAGGGTTGTGGCATCCGAGTTTCTACTGAACAAGCTTTTCTGGTTGCTGTAGACATACTGCTGACGCAATGTGTCTATTGGTAAAGCTGCCAAAGAGACTGTCGAGTGTAAGATAAAACAGTTATAGTACTGATATTATTTTATCATAAGCAATATTATAGTTACATTTAATAAAATGGGGCATGGACTGTTTTTTTTTGGCCATAAGACTGTGAGCCTGACTACTAAAATATGCCAACCAAAATGTTTTGGATGTCTGTATTATATGTTAGGCACGATGATCAATATATTTTTTGATACATAAAATCACTTTTGTCTCCATAAACGGTTGTCTTTTTACTTAATAACCTACTCGCTGCTTCTAACAAGGTGACTCAGTCAGTCTTTGTGACGGCAAATTCTTTCTAGCTGAGTAAAGGCAGTATATACGCGGATGAACCGGTTTGGGATGCAGTGGCCTTAGAGCAAGTTCCTGGAACAACAAATGTATAGTCACGTGGAGTCTAGAACAGCCGGTTTACAGGTGTAATTTAAAGATGCTTTGTGGAATATGCAGCGCAGCACACTGTGCATAGGGTTATTATTACTGTCCACTATTGATATACAACATTGTTCAATTAGATTTCTTTTTAGCATAGTGCCAGAGTTCATTGAAAGTCAACCAAAAGACCGTTTAGGAGAGACGTTTGAAACATTTCATTCTCAAGCAAATGATGGATTCAGAGGGAAACACTCACTGTAAAAGTTAAAAACAGTTAGCATGCTGGTTAATTGGTTCTGGTCGACTTTATCTCTATCTCTTTTTGATATTTGCTTAATTGTTTGTGTAAGAAATGTTATGTTTGCTATCAAACTGTTCCCCAAAACATACACAGTGTTGGGTGCAATTAATTATGTCATTTAATTCGTTACTTCTGATGTAATTGCATTAAAGGGATAGTTCACCCAAAAATGAAATTTCTCATCATTTACCTCAAGTTGTTTCAAACCTGTATGAGTTTCTTCTGTTGAACACAAAAGAAGATACTTTGAAGAATGTTGGTAATCAAACAGTTGACGGCACCCATTGGCCATAGTAGGAAAAAATACTATGGAAGTCAATGGCTACCGTTAACTGTCTGGTAACCACCATTCTTTAAAATATCTTCTTTTGTGTTCAACAAACTCATACAAGTTTGGAACAACTTGATGAGAAGTAAATTATGACAATTTTCATTTTTGGGTGAACTATACCTTTAAATACTGCATAGAGACTATACAATTCTATATGAAACAATAGTGGATTTAACATCAAAATTGAATGTCTAATGTTAAAATCTATGTTTTAATGCAACCTTCTCCCTTTAAATACTTTGGTCATATTAAGAATAATTTATGCAATTTTATATTATTTATTTGAAAGAATTCAAGTGGCAGTTTCATGCCTTTGCTTGTAACTGGTTGATATGGGATTTAGAAAGCAATTAATAATAAGTTATGCAATACTTTTTAGAGAGAGTCATTATAACAGTAATCGTATTAAACTGTTGAAGATGTGATTAGTAGCTAGTCATTAATTATATTTTTAGAGTAGCTTACCCAACACTGTACACACATGATTAATCCCTTTGTAAAACCCATGGTAATACTTAGTGCAATTTCATAAATTAATTTAGGGATCTCATTCAAACAGCTTTCAGAAGCTTTGTTGAATTTTTGTCTTTTTTTGTTGTTGATAGCGGTGGTTACTATCAAGTTTACACAATTTTTATTGAAAGAGCAGTTGGTTAACTGTAGTACTAAAAATGGTATTTTGGCTGAAATTATGGTTATGGGGATTTTTCGTAAGGCTAGTTGTCATTTTATGCCGTCACTTGTTAATAGTGATGGGTTAAAATTACGGTTAATTTAACGTAGCTGTTATGATAGCATGGGTATCATTAATATATATATATATATATATATATATATATATATATATATATATATATATATATATATATATATATATATATATATATATATATATATGTATATATTAATAAAAAATATATACATGTATATTAATGATATATATATATATATATCATTAATATACATGCATATATTTAATATATATATATATAATTAATATACATGTATATATTTAATATATATATATATATATATATATATATATATATATATATATATATATATTTAATATATATATATTTATATATTAAATATATACATGTATATTAATGATATACACTCACCGGCCACTTTATTAGGTAGACCTGTCCAACTGCTCGTTAACACTTAATTTCTAAGTAGCCAATCACATGGCGGCAACTCAGTGCATTTAGGCATGTAGACATGGTCAAGACAATCTCCTGCAGTTCAAACCGAGCATCAGTATGGGGAAGAAAGTTGATTTGAGTGACTTTGAACGTGGCATGATTGTTGGTGCCAGAAGGGCTGGTCTGAGTATTTCAGAAACTGCTAATCTACTGGGATTTTCACGCACAACCATCTCTAGGGTTTACAGAGAATGGTCCGAAAAAGAAAAAACATCCAGTGAGCGGCAGTTCTGTGGGCGGAAATGCCTTGTTGATGCCAGGGGTCAGAGGAGAATGGCCAGACTGGTTCGAGCTGATAGAAGGGCAACAGTGACTGAAATAACCACTCGTTACAACCGAGGTATGCAGCAAAGCATTTGTGAAGCCACAACACGCACAACCTTGAGGCGGATGGGCTACAACAGCAGAAGACTCCACCGGGTACCACTCATCTCCACTACAAATAGGAAAAAGAGGCTACAATTTGCAAGAGCTCACCAAAATTGAACAGTTGAAGACTGGAAAAATGTTGCCTGGTCTGATGAGTCTCGATTTCTGTTGAGACATTCAGATGTTAGAGTCAGAATTTGGCGTAAACAGAATGAGAACATGGAACCATCATGCCTTGTTACCACTGTGCAGGCTGGTGGTGGTGGTGTAATGGTGTGGGGGATGTTTTCCTGGCACACTTTAGGCCCCTTAGTGCCAATTGGGCATCGTTTAAATGCCACGGCCTACCTGAGCATTGTTTCTGACCATGTCCATCCCTTTATGGCCACCATGTACCCATCCTCTGATGGCTACTTCCACCATGTCACAAAGCTCTAATCATTTCAAATTGGTTTCTTGAACATGACAATGAGTTCACTGTACTAAAATGGCCTCCACAGTCACCAGATCTCAACCCAATAGAGCATCTTTGGGATGTGGTGAAACAGGAGATTCGCATCATGGATGTGCAGCCGACAAATCTGCGGCAACTGTGTGATGCCATCATGTCAATATGGACCAAACTCCCTGAGGAATGCTTCCAGCACCTTGTTGAATCTATGCCACGAAGAATTGAGGCAGTTCTGAAGGCAAAAGGGGGTCCAACCCGTTACTAGCATGGGGTACCTAATAAAGTGGCCGGTGAGTGTATATATATATAAAGAAAAATATATTTATATATACACACGATTAAGGGGGAAATATACCTATCAAGGACAAACGTGCTTAGTTCTTAAGTGATTAATAGAAATAAATATTTATTTGGTTCTCAAGTAAATAAACTTTAGTTGCAGACTTCAATTAGCGCCAGTAGAGGGAGTGCGTTATTTAAAATACAACCCTCAGAAACCCATACCTGCCGAAGCCGTGTTAAAACAAGGCAGTTTTCTCTGCCTTGTTTTAATGATGGGTTCGGATGGAAATACCATGGTAGCGATTTATTGCCATATTAAGCATATCATGTGATACTAAAGTTGCTACTAAATATCCCTGTCTAAATCATTCTTAGCAAGCCAAACATGAAATGCGTACAGCCTAATTATTATACACAAAACCCTGTTGCCCTATATTACTGGAGAGATAACATGTAGGCCTAATGTAGCCTATGTACTTTTCCCCACAGTGGACTAACAGCTAAATTATTAAATCATGAATTTTTTTTAACAACCATACCCATTTTGATGTTGGGAAGAAATAAAGATAATATATAAAAAATGTTTGTCAACTACTGTACTTACTTGAGAAGCTATAGCTAAGGATGCAAGTTGTATCACAGCAGTGGAATGGGCAACTGCTGGTAAAATGAATAGTACAATGATAGTAACTAAATGTTTGCTGAAGGTCATTGTAACGTTCAGGGCTTATTGAAACAGGCGTGTCTTCGTCCGCGTGAGTGTGTTGCTCTGACTGTGATTGGAGGATGGAGAAGAAACGAGAAGCTTCTAGAAGTGAACAGGCGGGCGCGCCGGGAGGGGTCGCGCGGGCCGTCCTGCACTCACTGTAGGGGTGCTTGATTCCGGGTCCTGACTCCCACTGTAGGTGGAGTCGATGGAATCAATGAGGGTCAGCAATACCTTTATTAAAACAATTTAAAGATAACATTACCTTGAAATGATGTCACCATAGTTTCCTAATGGTTTCCAGTAATACCTCATTTTAAAGAGGCAAAACTGAAAAAGTCACGAGGAAAAGCATTGGCCGAACTCTTTTTGAAGTCACTACTGCACTGGGGCGCTTTGTGCGCTTGTAGGTTGTAAAATGTCCTGACTAGGTAGTTGACAAATAACGTAGACATTTTGTT